TCGTTAAATTATTTATAATCCTATATTGAGGAAAATATATTTATTATTTTTTTACTTATCCAAGAGTACGTACATTTGTTATTTATATAATTATTAAAAGGTACATTTATTGTTTATATATATATATATAAACAATAAATAATTATTATAAGTTTTAATTAATTATATTAATAATGATAATATTTATAATATTATTAATTAGTATCTATAGTATTTATAGTATAATATAATCATAGATAGTATATTTATTATTTTTAGAACTATTAGTAAGTATATATTTATTAATTTTATACTTCTTAAAAAATAAATATATTATTTATATATTTATTAGAAAGAATATTTTTTGTCTTTTAAATATCATAAGAGACGGCATAAAAACGTTTTAAATAAAGTCTGGAAAATTAAGTATCAGTCACTGTTGTTGACTTTTACATCGTTCAGAAGGTGTTAATAATCCAACATGTGTCTCTTTTTATGCCATCCAAATACAGATACAACGTATGAATAACGATAAAGAATTGATTGATAAATAAATGAATGAGGATCACTTTTTAAAAAAAACTCGTATATTTTTTTATGTAGAAAAAAAAAGTAACTTTTTTTTTAATTAAATTTTATTAAATCTCTTTTATTAAATCTCTTTCTCGATTTTAATTAAATCTCTCTCTCTCTCTCTCTCTCTCTCTCTCTCTCTCTCTCTCTCTCTTTCTCACTCTAATAATATTATATCTTATAGTTAATATACATTAATCTTCAGAACTATTAATCGAACTTTTTAATTAATTTTGTAATTAAAAAAAAAAAAAAAGAAAACTGAATCGAATGTATAAGTCAAATATTTATTATAAATTTTTATTTCCAAAAAAAAAAAAAGAAAAAAAAGAAACACAAGATGAAGGAGCAAAGTAATTAATATGAAGCTAATAACATATACGCTTATAGGTATGCGCATATGTATTTGTATTTATGTCAAGACAAAATTAATGGTATAATTTATATCTAATATTAATGTATCCTCTAATATGAACTAATCAATTTCGTAATA